CTTCTGTCTCACCTTAAACAACCTCGACGTTTCTCCTACATACACCGCTTTCTTGCGCTTGCATGGGATCTCGTAGACAACAGATTTTTGTTCTTCGCCAACTGGTTGTTGAGCCCTCGCCTTCAATTTCTTTATTTTATTTTCTGGCTAAAATGTCGTGCGAAATGAATGTTTGAAAGCTATAATCTTTTGAGTTGTTCGATAAGCAGTTTAATTTAAATTAAATTGCGCGAAATGAACGTTTAAAACTTGTACACGTCAAATTTAAAAACAATTTGTGTAAATAGCCTGAGGACGGATAATGACCGTTCCCTAATGCTAAGAGGCTGTTTATATAATCCCTCAGGGGCCGCGGAACCGGGGGCAATATTATTTTTATTATTATTATTTAAAAATGTTTAAAAAGGGTAGTCCTTCAGGGCACATAGGCACCTGCTTTTCAAGGAGCCGTTTGAAAACTACTAAATTAACAATACAAATATAAATTAATTTACAACTATTACACTACCTATATTACTATAATTATATACTAGATTACTAATTACAAGAATACATCACTGTGGTCAAGAATAGATTTAAATTTACCAAGGCTGTTTTGTTCCTTAGCTAAACTTGGTAAGCTGCAATCTCGTTCCCAGAGTATGCCTGTTCGTGGGTTAGGTAGTGCCACTACCTAACCCGCGAACAGGCATACTCTGGGAACGAGATTGGGTAAGCTGTTCCATAAGGACGCAGCCGTGTAACTAATACTCTTTTTCATAAAATTTGTTACCGGCTTTCCAAGGGAGAAGTTTATATTGTTACTACGCAATTGATACACTTGATTCTCTTTGATTTTAAACATTTCTGTTACTGATTGTGGCATGACGTTATTTTTATTTTGTGCATAAATATACATTTGTTTCTATTTAGTCGTTCGCTTAGGGGCTGCCAATTTAGCTCTTTTAAAACATCTTTAGATCTGGTTTCATATGTTCTGCCCGTAATCACCCTCGCAGCCCTATTTTGTAATTTTTGCTGTTTGCTTAACAGATAATCAGAACAATTATCCCAAACAAGACTGCAATAATCAAAATCTGACAGGACGATAGCATTGTACATTTTTAACAAAGTCGATTGGGGAACAAATTTCTTTATTCTCCGAATCATTTCTATACCTTTTGAAGATTTTGAAACAATGCTTTGCATTTGGTCGTTCCACGAGAGGTGCTCATCAACAATGACCCCCAATGTTTTAGATTTGTTGACTCGCTTTATTGTTGAGTCACCAAGTTTGACTATAGGATCTGTTAAAATATTAGAAATGCGTTGTCGTGAGCCAACAATCATGTATTCAGTTTTCTTTTTATTAAGAGTGAGTTTATTTGAAGTTAGCCATCGGTGCACATTTTCTAAGTCGGCATTTAAGCGTTCTTGTATTTCAGTGTCAGTTTTACCGTGAGTAGAAATATTTGTGTCATCAGCAAACATACTTGCCGAGGATAATGATAGACAGCTTGGAAGGTCGTTTATATATAGAAGAAACAGCAAGGGGCCTAAGTTAGAACCTTGTGGTATGCCACATTTAACTGCTCTTTCATTAGATGTAATTTGATCCACCTTGCAAATTTGTATCCAATTAGTAAGATAGGACTTAAACCAAGCTAGATCACGACCTCTTATTCCATAATAATTCATTTTTGTTGTATAAGTATATTATGATCTATACAGTCAAACGCCTTTTTAAGGTCAAGGAAAATAACTCCATTCAAACACCCCCTATCCATATTTAGCAGTCATTGATTTGTTGTACGAAAGAGAGATGTTTGAGTGAAGTGTTTCCTCCGAAAACCTGCTTGTTGTTCTATGAGTAAACCGTTAGACTTTAAATACGTATTAAGCTGCTCTGAAATTAATTTCTCAAATATTTTTGCAGCACATGATAAAACTGAAATTGGTCTATAATTATCACAGATTAATCGGAGAAGCATGAACGTCAGCGACAGTTAAGAATCTTGTTTTCCATTTTTCCCATATTACGTTTGGATCAAGCGTATATATACTGTTCAAAAATATTTCATCGTTTAAATATGTAAAAATATCTGCCTTAACATTATTGGCATTATATTGCTTAAATTGCCTAGTTTTGACAATCTTAGGTTCCCCACGGGAAATTCTTGGTCTCTCAATCCAAGATGATTTGAAATGGAACGAGCATGTGAACCATATTGTTAAAAAAGCCGGAAAACGCCTTTATATGCTAAGGTTGTTAAAACGATCAAATGCCGACAATAGCATTCTAATTTTGGTATACTGCACCATTATCAGACCAGTACTCGAATATGCCTGCCAAGTTTGGCACTTCAATATTACAGAATACCTAAGTGAAGATATCGAAAAACTCCAGAAGCGGGCTCTGCGTATTGTCTTGCCATTCGCTACTTATAGAGAAGCTTGCAGTATTACTGGTATACCCTTACTGAAAGATCGGCGGCGTTTATTATGCGAACGTTTTTTTGTTAAAAATGCACATGGAGACAAATTGGGTGACCTCTTACCGCCTAAACTTGAACATAACTATAATACACGTTATGGAAGCGATTATAATAACTATAGTTGTAAAACGGACAGATTTATGAAATCGTGTTTTCCACAGATGGTTTCACATATGAATAGACCATAATTTTAATATTTTTAATATTTTTAAATTTGAACTCTATAACTTTTTCAACTGAAGTTATGAATAATTTTATGCATCTAGATATTCTATTG